ACACGTGGCAGTCTCACAATCAATGTCCACAGTCCCACATCGAAACTCTAAACAAAATGCACACCTCCCAAGGCCTATAAAAGAGGGCAACCATCTCAGCTTGGAGGTAATCAATCAGAATTAACGGCATACTGCCTATTGATCTGTAGTTCAAACTTACTAAATCCGTACTTACTTAAGCATCGGAGAGCCTTTGGCCGGTATCACACCAGTACCTAGGACTTACCGAGCGTTTGCTATCTTACAGGTATAACTTACTACCGAAGTCATAGCATACCGAAGGTAACGAAATCACTAAGTTGCGCGCGAGAAAGTGCAGAACCATTTTTCTGCGTCAACAAACCCAATCCTAGACATGTATTTATAAAAAAACCCAAACATTATTTAAACATAGAAACACACCCAAAATCTACAATTGTATATTTTTTGGGTGTGTTTATAAATGAGTTTTGAGTGTGTGTAATGATGAATTTTGGGTGTGTTTATAAAGTGTTTTGGGTGTTAAGTTTTTTTTATAATTTCAGCCCCCATTTTGGGTGTTTTAGTGAAACTCCCTAATAATAAAATGAAGGGAGTTTCACTAAAACACCCAAAATGGGGATTGAAATTATAAAAAAACCCAAGCACTATTTAAACATATAAACACACCCAAAACCCATCATTACACACACTCAAAACCCATTTATAAACACACCCAAAAAGTTGACTTTGGGGTTGATTTTGGGTGTGTTTCTATGTTTAAATAGTGCTTGGGTTTTTTTATAAATACATGTCTAGGATTGGGTTTATTTATAAATTTGTATAAAATGAAAGCATGCAATTCCCCTACTTGGTGGATATTCAACTTGACATTGGGTATAGCCGCTCGTTTTTTATTTTTATAAAAATAGTATAGCCGCCCGGCTATACTATTTTTGACACGTAATCACTAGCTGCTCCTCCTTTTTTAGTTTTTTAATTATAGATTAGTATAGCCGCCCGGCTATACTCCGGTTTTTTGTTTCTCTACTTTGTAAGTAGTATACTCGAGCGGCTATACCCAATGTCAAGTTGAATATCCGCCAAGTGGGGGAATTGCATGCTTTCATTTTATTATTATTATTTTTTTCAAACTTACTGTGTCTTCCAAGCTAATCGGAATTTCTACACAAAGAACGTTTGTTGTAACACCAACTATTACACAAATAATTAATCCATATACAATCAATGAGCATCAAATGGGAATTAAAAAGTCGTGAGTTCAACGATGATTTTACCTCAAAGTCGCATATACGTACGTAGTAGTGTTTGTTATATAAATTATCCATATAATGAATCCCAACAAAAGAATCCATATCAACTTCGCCTTATAACTTTCCTCTGTAAAGGTTACAGAATACAATTTGCTAATATAGCGATTTGCAACTAGAGTCCTAATACCCTGCCTTCCATCCACCACTCAGCTATTTCAACAAAAATATGGGTTAACTCTTCCATGTATTGGTCTAATTTACCAAAAAGTGTCTTGTCGGTATTTCGAGAACATGAGGTAGCATGGGCAACAAAATTTGCTACCTTCTGCGCTTGGATTCTTTTCGCATCTCAGCAAGGTAGTTCTCCAAGTTCGATTTTTCCCATAAACGTTTATGAATAAGATCTTCCTTTCTTGAGTCGTCTGAAAAACAAACCAATAAACAATTGGGAACAATAAGTATGAAGAACCTTTAGGGTGTGTGTGACTCTGCAGGAGAGCATGCAGAGTCTGGAACTCGCAACTCAAAACCATAACTACTTTATCAATTAAGATCTGAGATTGCAGCATCTTGTATGGAAGGTTTTGTGTAGGTTCATGGTGAAAGGTTAAAGCTTAAAACAAATAAAGTATGAAATAGTTGGTGCTCAGACATCCATCCCCCTTCACCCCGCAGTGATCTAATGGGATCGAAAGTTAATGACCCTCTTTCTCTGTTAAATCCATATATCAAGCCCCATTAACCTTGACCAAATTCATAATGCCAATATAAGGAAAAAAAAACCCCTAAAATTTAAAGTTATATACCAAGATTTCTCCATGCATCAAGAGGCGCATTAAGGGATCTCTGTGTCAGGTAGGAGGCATCATCCCATGAATATGGTGCTTGTTTCACCTTGTATCTCCAGAACCAACAGCCACACCATAATAATAGCTGGATCAACAAGAAAAAGAGTTAACATTACAGTAATAGTTAACGTAAAATCATCAATTCCATACACTACTAGATAGACAAGAAAAAGAGTGGAATATATCAAGCATAAAGTACACCCATGGCCATTATTGGTTAGTACTGCTTACTTTAAACTTCAGCATACCTTGCCAATAGTGTAGGGTAGGAGTATGAAGCGGACAACAAGAAGATCCCACATGGAGGGCTGTTCAGCTCCCTTAATCTGCAACTCGAGTTCGTTGCCGAGATCTTCCCCCACTTTCCTATGAAAAAAACATCCGCCTTTCTTAACGACAAATTCAGAATCATAGAATGCAATTCCATGTACAATTGATTAATCCTCATGGATACATTATCAATTTTTTACAACCATGCATTTCATTATTTCTCTTTGAAAATGACTAAGAATTCATACTTGTTCATCTGCTTGTTACTCTTCTTCTTATTTGTAGTCCCCCCACTACGCTCAAGTTCCAAAGCCCGTAGTCTATTTTTGTAAGCAGGAGTCTTCTTGACCATGTCCACAGCCTACATAGACATGAAACATCAAAAGTGTCACGAATGATATGCATTAGCAAGTCCTGTAAGAATCCACTAGAGTATACATGAGTCCTTATCATACTAAAAACATTTGCCATTGCAATAGCTATAGTACACTCCAAGAATACAACAAGGTAGACAATAAAATCTAGATTTGGGAGTGATGTCGGCAGTCAGGACATGTGTACCAAAGGCATGTTGTGCAACTTGTTTAAGCCATAGAGTGACATCTGCATTTCAAACATTACTGCTTTGATACTCTTATAAATGTAATGTACACATTATATTGATCTGCCACAGTACCTGATTATACCTTGTCCACTGATTTAGATACTGAAATGCTGAAAGAATCAAAAGAAGGCCAACCAGGACAGCACGAGGATCCTAGAATGCAGATACACAAACAGTTTTAGAAACAAATACATGAAATTGGAGCTTAACCTATCAACTCGCAGAATTGTTTCTGAACCAGACAGAATATTAAGTTATGATTTGAACAATGAAAACTCTCTCACCGTCTTGTGACCGTAATATGCTTGATAGTAGCGGGCTGTATTGTAAAATACCTAACAAGCAAAATACACAGCAACCTTATTATCTTTCACAAATATCTAAGCTCAAAGAATATGGAATCTTAACAACTGGAAGCTCACATTACCCATATAAATTGAAAAATACAGCATAATACTTACAAGAATTTTCTTCTTTCATGCAATCTCAATTCTTAAGTCCACGAAAATCGATAGAAAGGTTTCCAATTTACTTTTTAGCCTTTAATTCAATGTTCACTCAGTAGTTTATATATTTTACCTCCTCCGGATGTGCAATGGCGTAATCATACTGCTCCCGAGTGGCCTCGTCCTTCAGAATCTACAATTTAGCAATTAAACTCCATCATCACTAGCACATGACAGCAAATGAAAGTCTAAAATAGCAATTGCATTCGAATCAATTTCCAAATTTGGCATCATTTCCTACAAAATTACATGATCCCAAGTACCTCATAAGCATTGGCAACTTTAACAAACAGCTTTTTCGATTCCGGATCCGGATTTTTATCCGGGTGACTGAGAATAAAACACCAACATGTCAAAGAAATAATAAAAATCTTGATTTAATAATTTCAGAGTAATTTACAAAGTGAAAAATGGTGCAGACTCACTGTTTCAAGGAGAGCTTGTAATAAGCTTTCTTGATCTCCGAAGAATTCGCGCTCTGCGTAACCCTAGAGAAGCAGGTGAAAATGTTAAGTAAATATGCGATCAAGAGAGGGGTAATTTGGGAAGCAGTGGGAAACTTATGAGGGAGAGGAGCGGAGCTGACCCTAGGAGATCGTAGCAGTCATCCTCGTCGCAGTAGATGGCCGTCGACGTAGTGATGAGATGGCACAGCATTAGAGCTGAAACAACCGAGAACCACCGAATCGCTGCCGGTGGCGCCATGCTGTACCAACGGAGCTCTAGATTTCTCTGAAATCGTTTCCCGAGAATTGGAGGGTACTCTGCGTGAAGTGTTTTGAGGAAACCAACCAAAAAAACAAACAAACAAAAAAAGATATGAAGGTGGTCAACAGATCTGCATTTCAAAAACTATTAGCCGTCGGATTTGCATAAACTCATCTTTGTATAGATGAGTAAACGACGTGTCGCTGTGTGAGAGTTGGCTCGGTTTGACCGCGACTTTGCTTTTCTTTTTGGAGAGTATTTTCCTTTTTGTTTTTGGCAATAGTGACATTCAAAATTTCAAATACAATACAACTTTTTTTTTCTTTTCCAAAGTTAGAAAGGTAAAGGGGGGAAATTCACACATATGAGTATCATAGGAGCTTGAACTCTCAGGACCATTTGGGCGTACACCAAAAATTTGGGCCAATTCAATTAACACTGCATTGATATATACCATTAAATTGCAGCTACATGTTAAGAAAAAAAAACTATTTCTTAAAGCTTTCCTACCCGAGGTTCTATGTTTAGTTCCCTTTCTCTTAATATCACTTGTATATATTTCTTTTAGAAGATGGAATACTATTTCTAAAGTTCACTTGGAGTTGGAGCGAGTTAAGGCTTTTACAACATGCTTGTGTTTCTTCTTAAGATTTCGTTAATCAACCTCAATCGACAATAATCAATCCTTCATATACTATTATAGCTTAGGGTTTAGCAATGCTTGAGGTTGATGTCATTGGATAAAAAACAATAAAATGATGATAAACAAAACTTGTTATATACTTAAAACAAACCCTTAATTAAAAGCAGAATAAAAACTATAAACCCCTAAATAGCCAATCAAAATTGACTAATAAACGAGCTTAATTTCCATGCCTAATATAAGATTAAGCTTAATTTCCATTGCCCCCACCCCAAATATATTTAGATAACCCTAATGATGTACTAGCAAAACTCATCTGTGCGGTACTAATGGCTTACCTAATTATTAATTATACAACAAACCTAGGAAGACCTATTTTGGAACCCAGCATTTTAACATCCTCTTGGACTTGCCGCCTATACTCCCCGAAGCTGAATTTTCTATACACCGAAGGCTCACGGCAGCTTTGTATCACAGTCTCATACGAAGGGCATAGGAAATATGCTGTCGAGAATCGTTCCACTGCCAAATTCGTGACAACTCGATGTTGAACACTCTTGTACACATTGTTGCTCCATGCCTAGACCAAAAAATAAATAAATAATAAAAAATGAATAATATTAAGAAAAATGACACAAGTGGGATAAGAAATGAAATCTTGATATATGTTTGTGTTATGTTGTCAGACCGAAAATATAAGTAATTAAATTGAAAGTGGACCTGAAATAAATCTCCGATGTTGATGATTAGGGCCGCAGGATTAGGTTTAACCGCGATCCATCTCCCATCCTTGACCAACTGCAGTCCTCCAACCTGGTCTTGATGCAAAATTGTAAGGAAGTCGCTATCAGTGTGTGGCATCAACCCACACACCTCAGAAGGGATGGGACATGGTGGATATCGATTCAATCGGAGATAGCACGTGCTGGGCAAACAATTTGCTTGGAAAAATGTCGACTTGTGACCCAATTTCTCAGCTAAAATTTCAGCCAAGTTCAGTGCCAGACTTGAAACTGTTGTAGCAAACTGTTCCATTGTCGAGCTGGACACCCAAAATCACAAAGTGCCCACGTGGCATAAATGAGTATGATGATGGTGAAAACGAAAAAACAATGAGAGGCAGAGAGAGGGAGAGAGGCCATGCATGCATTACGTACAGCGATTTGATATCACAAATCAACAACACAAGGAGTGAGTTCAATAATTGGCACTTTTCTGCAACACAAGGAAAGGTATGGTAGCTAATTGGGACAGCAAGGCTATATAGCTATCTGTAATTTTGTCCCATGACAGCAAGGAAGCAATTCTAGCAGAGTGTCCCTGATGGTTCCTGCAATCTAGAATAAATGAGATGATGCATTGCAGACTCTAGGACGTTTCACTACAAATTGCAAGTACTGAGATCACAAGATCTCTGCAACTCATTTTGTGGTTCCTAAACAACTGCATGTGAAGCAGAAGCTGACGCTTAGCTACTGAGCAGTCTGTTTCATCAACTTTTCCAATTTCCATGGACAACCGGTAACTAAATGTGCAAAAAACCAACAACACAACATAAATTACCGATGCCAAAATATTGACATACGCAACCGCTTAAGATATTGCAGTATCACACAATAATTTCTCTTCGAGATACAGATAGCTGTATAGTATCCAATTGTTTATTGGGTCGTTGGTTCCTATGGTTTTAGTGGATTCCTATTTTCCTACGGTAGTTTTGAGGTTGTAACAAGTAAAAAGCACGCATTACAGTAATTAACATATAATTATGTGAATTAGTAAGTAATAATTATATATACCTGAGATTATAATCGAGACCAGCTGCTGAGGAGGTGGAAATGTCTTTGAGTGGAATGTGAAACGCTTCAGACCAAGCCAATTGTCTTAGGCATGTGGCTGAAGGCGTTCCCCAACGGTAACTACCGGCAGAGAAATTCAAGTGCTTGTCCTCCTGACTCTTCTTATCAAACGACTGCTTGAACACCTTCTCTTGCTCAATCTTCATCTTCTGAAGCAGCCGACCAGAAACCCCATGGTTCACAACCTGAAAGAAACCCCACTCTTGAGAAGCCCTAGCTATCTCTGACTTGCACTCTTCCCTTTCCCTTTCTCCGAGCTCCAACCTCCGCAGATCGATCAGCGGCAGGTCGCATTCCTCGACGATGACAAGCTGCAGCATCTCCTCATGGTCCTTGTTGTTGTTGTTGCTGTTGCTGTTGATTATATTGGCGGTGGCCTTGTCCGCGGTTTTGTCGAAAAGGGTCTTGTAGGCCTTGTGAAATGGTGGGTCCGAGTCCATGATGCTAATTAGAAATTGAAAGACATGGACAAAGTGAGAGAGAGAGAGAGAGAGAAAAAGAATTGAAAGGGAATGTTATGAGAGCCGGGAAGAGATTAAAAAGAGAAAGATGGACAGCAATTAACAAGTGGAGGGTTTTAGGAGATGGAGACAATGAGAAAAGAGATTGAGACAACGCCGCGTTCTATTGTTTCTTATGTTCCCTTCGTCGTCGATGAAAACGTTATGGCGTTTCCTTTTCTAAGTTTTGGAGTCTACACTGGAATTCTGTGTCCGTGTCTTTTTGCTATAGGCACCAGACATGGAAGTTATCTATTTCATTTTAATAAACTTGGTCCTTCTCAATTGTCTTCTCTCTCGGACCCCTCTTTAGATTAGAGAAATTAAAATGGTCATCAAACGAGCTCTAAAATTACCATGTGTTTCAACTTTATGGACTATGAGCTATGGACAATCATATCAGCAATATATCGACAATAATATTACTGACTAATATCGGCATTTTAAAAACAGACAAAAAAATTGTAGTTAATTAAACTTTTAATCACTATTTTCTATTGATTAAGCATGTCCCTTGATATATAATAATATGATGATAATTAATCTGAAGAATTTCAGCTTACCTTATTAAAGGCTGTAGCCACAGGGAGCTGTCACGTGGATTTTCCTCAGACCTAGGATTTTCAATCTTCTCATCAGAAACGATCTTAAAAGAAAATTGAATGCAAAATATACCTTCCGAATAGAAGAAAACAAGATTGTGGTCGTACTAATGCGTCGACCACCGACTATACCAAATTCCTTGGGCCCATATATTTAAGCGAGGCATAAATAATTTGCACAAGATAATACTTGTTATCCCTCACTCACTACAGGGATATGCCCATATCTGGTTCTAATTAAGCAGTACAAAACAGTAGAAACCTTGGAAAATAACACGGTGTGTGATGAAAACTAGCTATTAGCGAACCTTGCTAGGAATTTAATCCTATGAACTACTAGTATTTCAAGACATCATCAAGACCATCAATGTGTGGGAGCGTACTCCGAAAACGGGATGAGAGCTCATTTAAGCACCATCAAAATAAAAAATTCGAGTTTACAAACCCCATTCTGCACCTGTTCTGGAACCTTCAATAACATCTCAAAACTTTATTAATAATATTCCTCCTTTTATCATAAGCAATGCGCCACCTCAAGCTAGCTACCGGATTCAGTGATATATATGAAATTGCCTGCATAAAAAGAAAATCAAACTTCCAAGTCATAACGGTTGTAGCTCAAGATTCAAGAGTCAAAAAGCCCTTTTTCTTTTTCTTTTTTAATCTCGGAATGACAAAGTTTAAAAATAACAACACTATGCTTAGACCATAGTCACGTGATCTGATCTGTGACCAAGTCCCCTTGGCTGTGGCTAACATTAATATAGGCCAAAGGTATATCAGTGGCCTGAAGAGGTTTTCTAGTAGTGCGCTAAAAGATAAAATGGAGGTGACTTGCATGGCAATATTAGTGCAGGGAGATGTTGACATCCCACTTGTTTGATAGATTATATATCACATAAAGACTATGACAAACATGTTGAATACAGTGGTTAATTGGGATGGGAAGAAACCAAAAGCAAGAGTACAAGGACAGTGAAAGATCCAAGCAAGAAAGATAAGCTCAACTTGTTAGAAAGAAAGATAAAACACATAAATAGCATTAAAACAAAATCTATGTGATGCTCTTCTTACATGTATGTAAGATGGAGACGAACGAATTGATGCAGACGTTGGCTTTGAGAGAAAGAGAGAGGCAAGAGCTAGTGGTTGGTCCTATACAATATATATACATATATATATATATATTAAACTTTAAATATTAATTAGTTGGGAAGAGATGGCTTTTATAAGGAGGAAATCCCATCAATCGTCCTCACTACTTTTGTATAGGCTGCTAAGAGGATTGAGAATTTATGCCTAAGAGAAGAACACGCGGCTCATAGTGGCATCAGATAAAATATGTTGGACGTCGGCCCTCCTTTTTTTCATGCATGTCACAACCTGGATTCTCAACCACACCAAATAAATCTAAATGCATGATCGTCAACTAGCTACTTGTTCTCTTGCTTGTTCATAAGTTATGATAATAATTAGCAAGTCATGATAATAATTATTCTACTACGGCATTTAAAAACTCTAAGAATTATTCTTTAATAATTAGTTAAGGTCCTTAAACGAGGATTCTTAACCGTTAGATCACAATTTCTCAACTAATTGTTGAGAAGATCACATGTCACAATCGGGAACTTAATAATCTAATTCAATTAAGGCGCATCTCAACTCACCCCGTTGTTTACTTATCTAATTAATCAGTCATCCGTATTAATACACTGATATTTGCTAAGAAAGTGTATTAACAATATGCATATAGCACAAAGGATTCTAGTTCCTAAGTCCATACCTTTTAACAATATGCATATAGCGCATAAGATAAAACATACTTATCTGAAGGTTTTTGTGTGAGTACACATGACAAGAGAGAATAATGCAACCTCAATTGAATGTTGAGAAGCTAGGATTCAATTCAGATGTAACTAGATTAGAATTGTATATATCAAAATTAACCTCTGTTTTTGTCAAATTATTGAAAAGATGCATAGAATTTATCTTGTCAATCAAATTGAGGATAAACACATTTTTCTAATAAAATTGAGAATCGAATCGACAAGATTCTATGCATCTTTTCAACAAATTGACAAAAATTAGATAAATTTTCATACATGAGGCCAAATATATTGAAACCATGATGGAAAACTACTTACTTATTTTAGAGAACCAAGAACCGGTCTTGACTTGAGCTTCGAAATTGCTAGATATGATCACCAAAAATCAATTGTCTATATACGTCCTACATTGTTCCACGTTTGACCTGTAATTCCAAAGCAACATCTCCTAAACTGTGAATACACACATATGGAAATCTATGGTCTTTTCAAAAGCTCGTGCATAATTTAGCACACAAATCTCAAAAGAAAAAAGAGTGAGTTGTGTGATTTTGTGAAGGTCGATCACTTATAATAAGGAAGAGTGCAAAAAGCTAAGAATGGTGAAGTGGTAGCCATGGTGCTCAATGCATTTATATACCTAATATGAGGTGGTTTCATGAAATCATGTAACGCGTTTCAATCAACGGTTTAGAGTTGTCTACACAATTGTGGTTGATATAACTTATAATTAGTCGATGAAAGTGACGCTTGCGTGACGAAACATATCTTAAAGTTGCTTTATTACATATATTCCATTTCAAAAGTTAAATTAAAATGATATTTTATTTAATATACGGAACATAGTACTATATAAGCACATGGAGATTTTGGAGTATTATAAAGATATTTTCCATTTATAGCGCCTTGGTAAAGTGAAAGAAAACCTATTTATAGCGCCGACATGATTTAAAGGGAAATGTAGACGAAAGGGACATGGAAGGAGAGACTTGGAGGCAGGACAACCAGTAATCAATTGAGAGACAGAGAGAGAGACAGAGAGAGTCGATGGATGGATGGATGGATGGATGGATGGATGGATGGATGGGTGGATGGATATACACCAATTGGATAGTTTGGCTTAAACTTTAAATTTAATATATTATAAGAAAAATATCTAACTCTCTTCTCTCAAAAAGAAAATGTATAATTAAAAAAGAAAAAGAAAAAGAAAAAAGGGATGGAAGTGTAACAAACAAGACAGGCAGAATCAACTGGACCCAACCGTTCAACTGTATTTAACCTCTGATGATCATGTCGGCAGAAACGTGGCAGAATCTAGAGTCACAAGCTTGATTTCACCATTATTTAACGTCGACATATATACAAATTAGAATGCAGGCAGGCAGAGCAAGGCCATGCATGTGCAGTGCCTAATTACATATATGAATCGAAAAGGACACAGAAGACATATGCATGCCCAGTTTCTCCTCTCTCTCTCTCTCTCTCTCTCTCTCTCTCTCTCTCTCTCTCTCTCATAAATACATACGAATTTCCAAAAAAGAAATGCCCTTTCGGCTCCTCCAACGGATCCAACAGTGCAAGGACGGTGGATGATGCTGCACTAAATATCATATCAGTAGTGTTTAGGTTTGCTTTGCAACTGTGCATGATATCATTTGTACGTAGACAGTGGGATCAACATCAAAGTGAGTGAGCCAGAGGTGGGATGGGGGGGTCAAACGTCATGTCGTTTTTGGAGGCATTTTACTATCTAAGATTCGCTTCATTTCTTTCAATCATTACGACTTTTTGAGGCACGCCCAGCCCTGGGGTCTCAGATTTTGATATGTGATGTTGACTTTCCGCCACGTGGCATCATCATGTGTAGAGAGAGACTGGGACCCATCCTCAACTGCCCCCCATTATTATAATGTCATGTTTGTTTGCCGTTGCTCGCCCTACTGCATTATTGGACTCTTCCTGCCTCCTTCTGCATGTTGCAGCGCTTCTTCACTGCTCCTCATCAAGTTTCCTCTGCACTCTCTCTTTCTGAGTGACCCTTGGCTTATCATTGGGACAGACATATTAATGATGATTTGTTTGTGGAAATACAACCTCTCCTTTTAATCACCCAATCAATGAAAGATAAGAGGCGCATCAGCTCGTGGACTTCAAAACTTTCCATCCAATCCAATATCTATCAACTTGTTTATACCATATCTGACCGGCCACTAGTTTCCTGACACGTAAAACATAAGACTCACAAAAGAGGCCCACGAAACTCAATTCAGATACTGAGGCCCATAAACAACCATCAACAGTAAGTTAATCTTTGATAACCTAACCTACTAATCCGGCTCAAGAAGGCACTTGCCACACCAGTTGAGTAAAGACAGGTGGCAGCCTCTCAGACGATGCTCACAATCCCACATCAAAATAATAACTCAAGATCCATCACTTTGGTCCTCTATAAACAGGGCTTAAGTCCCAAGAAACAATGTAGCAATGATTTTGGCAAATTAGGTCTGACATCGTCCAATTCATTACTCATTTCGTTCTTAAGCCAACTTAAGCATCAGAGAGCCTTCGGTCAGTACATGAGATTTTACCGTTGCTCTTTGTTTTGCAAATTATACTATATTTGTCGAAGGGCCTACGAGACCAAAGGCATCACACTTCTAAGTTGGGTCCAATAAAGATTATTAATTTTTGGGCATCAACACAACTCACTAACTATTATAGCTTTCCAATTATAAAATCATCAACTTTAATAAAAATAGGTATATCACATGAGATATGTGAGTTAAACCAATTAATTAAGGTAACATGTCCTACTCATTCATTCGAATTAGATCCACTCCCTCGAACATTAAAATAGTTTCGAATATCGCATTGTTAAAAGAAAAAAAATTCATGGACCATGTTAACCAAAGTAGCTGACTGCTAAATGAGACCCAATCACTACATAATTTATTTTATAGTCCACACAGGATACCGGGCCTCAAGCCACCACCTAAGCAGCATATTATACCCCAGTCGGCCCAACGGCCCGCACACCCAAACAAAAATAAAAATCCAAAATGGAGAACGAATTAAATAATAAAATAAAAATAAAATAATGATTGCTTCTTCCACCTTGAGCGTTCCGAATCTCGGTCTCGCACCCAGAACCAGTTGTGCAAATCACCAACCAATACTCAAAACTCCAAACGCCTCCGCTTCCTCCTACGAGCCGCAGGCTCGAAAACCCAAGGGTAGCTCTCAACTGACTCGATGGTCCAGGGCGCGGGCCATACGCTCGGGTCGGAAATTGGACCGCGCGGGCCAGCGGACCCAGTTGGTGGAACCGAATTCTCCGGTGCAGCCGAGAGAGCGCGTCTCGCTAGACGTCAAGGATGATACTTCAACAGGAAACGACAGCGAGGATGACGTGGAGATGACGGCGGGGAAGTCGATATACATGGTTTCTGACGGAACTGGGTGGACGGTCGAGCACTCCGTGAACGCGGCGTTGGGCCAGTTCGAGCATTGCTTGGTCGATCGGGGCTGCGCTGTCAATACCTATTTGTTTTCTGGGGTAAAGTTCAATGCTTTTTGGTTTTTAATGTTTGCTATTGCCTTGTACTGAATCTAATGCAAAATTGTCATGTGAAATTGGTCAGATTGATGAAGTAGAGCGGTTAATGGAGATTGTAAAGCAAGCAGCCAAAGAAGGTGCCATGCTTGTGTACACATTAGCTGACCCATCAATGGCTGAGTCTGCTAGGCATGCCTGTAAGCATTGGGGCATACCAACCACAGATATGTTGGGTCCAATTACAGAGGCCATAGCAACCCATCTAGGCGTGTCACCCTCTGGCCTTCCTCGTGGGGCTCCTGGCAGGAGCTTTCCTCTTACAGATGACTACTTTCGTAGGATTGAAGCCATTGAATTCACTATCAAGCAAGATGATGGGGCATTGCCCCAGAACTTGCACAAGGCTGACATTATACTTGCTGGGGTCTCTCGTACTGGGAAGACCCCGCTGTCGATTTATCTGGCGCAGAAAGGTTACAAAGTGGCAAATGTGCCTATTGTGATGGGGGTTCCATTGCCAAAGACCCTTTTTGAGGTTGACCCAGAAAAGGTTTTTGGTCTCACTATCAATCCTCTAGTGTTGCAAACAATTAGAAGGGCAAGAGCTAAGACTCTGGGATTTAGTGAAGGAATGAAGAGTAACTATTCCGAGATGGATCATGTGAGACAGGAGCTGGAATTTGCTCGAAGGATTCTTGCACAGAATCCTGTCTGGCCAGTAATTGGTGAGAATATTGCACTTTTCACATCTGTGCTCATATCAGTTTGGTTTTAGTATGATCTTGTTGGCCTGTTTCTTTTAAGCTTCAATTTGGTTGAGTTAATCATCCTGCTCATATTTGGTTGATTGCAGAGGTAACAGGCAAAGCAATTGAAGAAACTGCTGCTGTTGTACTGAGGCTTTATCATGACCGGAAGCACAAGTGCTCAATGCCAAGAATATCAAAACGTTACTAATGATAGAGGAGAGTTGATGCTAAATGGTGAGAGAGCTATCTCATATTAAACCAAGGAAGTGCTATCTTTTGTTTGAATCAAGCATGCACATATGCGTCTGAAGCAAATGCAACAAGTCGTTTCAAAGTGTACATGTTTGTTTGTCACCGTTTGCATTGTATCCTGATGAATTTGCAGTAAATAAATAAATATTTCCCATTGTGGCTTTCATCACCTTTGGAGGTTAGAGCCAGATGCCACTCTATTTGTTTATTCATTTGGGGGGTTTGGGTTCAACCAAGTTTACATTTACATGATAATGTAATATCTGAGGAAGACTTTGTTTTGTTTTGTATTTGGGCTGGATGTTTGGACCATGATTTGAGCACATAAGAATGTAATGTTTTTTATTTGTGGGCTTGAGCATCCAATTTCTAACGTTAGATCTCTTAGCAAACCACTGGATTTCCAATGTGCCATTGATTTATTTGTATGTCCTTTTCAATGGAATGCCTTTTTGGGTTGGTTTGTTTTGTTATTATATTTGATTCTTCATCTTAAATTCTAGATTAACCTCTAAATATGTCATTTCTATGACAAATAATTTTGTAGTTTAATATATCCTTGACTTACTGGAATGAGGGAGAGGGGTAGAGGCGCAATAAAAGCTGTAACTGCTACCATTCCTAGATGGCCTAAACAAACCGAACTCTTTAAAGAGGAGGAGGGGAGGATGGGAGGATGGGAAATTACCTATTACGGTACCTAGGGGTAGATGAGGGCGGGTAAAGAAATAGACTTTCAGGGGGGCAGGGCAGATCAACAAATCAACAACTATAATAAAAGACGTATTGCGAACTTCACACTTCAATTTCAAAGGTGCGTGTGGAAATAAGACTTATTGCCAACTTCACAAATCCAATGCTTGATTCTGTGGAATTTGGGATGGATGACCCTTCCTGTTGTTCTCATGACATGACCTGTTTTTGGCTTATTGATATGGTTTTCATGTCAATGTTCTTCAAGCGCGCATGCGTGACCCACTAAGTTATTATTATTATTATTATTATTACTATTGCTTGCAATCTAATCTCACATGGAAGCCACGTACAACAAACAAAAAGGGGCGGTTGAAGTTGGATTGCCAAAAGAGCAAGCAAAATAAAAGGCAAAGGGGAATGAACGGAAACGGATGAGGAGGCCAAAAAAGTGACTTTCATCCACTAAAGCTGTGTAGAGAAACAATATTTTACAAAAGAACACATCGTGTGTTTTGATCTCACCCATCTACATTAAAAAAAGAAAAGGAAGGAAGATTCCTTCTCCTTGTCACAATGCAGTACGACGTTGTCATCACTACTAAAATTCTGCAAAAAGAAGTTTGGTTTCTGTATGAAGACAAGAGTGGTGGGAGGTTGTTAGCTTTTTCCATCCTTGGAACTAAATCATCATCTTTCTGTTGTGTAATCTTGTCCCAAATCTCTCATTAGAAAGAAGCCGCTGTTTCGAGTAGCTACTTTCCCATGTCTTCCATCTTAAATTCTACTACAAAGTGCACACATTATGTCACTGCTGCCAATCTAGACTTTCATCTGCATTGTACTTGGCAATTGAAAGGGTGAAGTATATCAACAAGATTGTTCCAATGCTTGACCTGTCACCACAAAAACATACTTGCGTCATTGAGCCGAAGAAGGGAAGCTTCCGTTGTAAGTTGTAACTATAGACTATTTAGAGAGAGATTAGAAAACTTACATGGTGGCAAAGAAGAAAAGAACCCTCTTGGGGTCGATGGCCCAAGATGAAGAGCGCCGGAAACTATTTCTCCGAACAACACATCTGCCATCAGTGGTGGTGCCGATGTTGGCTGCTGTGACGGTGATTTGATGATGGACTTGCGGGTTGCTCGAATGATCTATGGTCCCCATAGCCAGTGGGGACTTAGGCGTGCTAGATCCTACAGGAGCAGCTGCAACTCAATAATTCCATACCAAATTGTGCACACATAATATGTTAGCTAACTAGACTTTCACCACCAAATTTCCCATAATGCTGGTTCATAACTGCCTACGGCCCCAAACAAGGAATTAAAACAAAAGGGAAAAGATATACAGTAATATGTACTTTTACAAAACATCAAACTGCACCATCTAGTTGACCCAGCACTGGTTGTATCTCACTGTCATAACTGCAATTTGTGATAAGAGTGGGTTCTACTTTGAATTATGGCTGTGGGTTCATGTTTATCTCAACTAATTTCCAACTAACAAGTTTGAATTTTTTTAAACAAATCAGTCAGAAAACTTAACCACCCTTTAAGAAGATGCTCAAGGGCACTCACATACATCAGCACATCAGATACAGTAAAAATATTATTAATATAAATAAATAAGAATATTTGAATGATAAGGCAGGCCAGGTGTATGGGAGTCACCCACCTCAATGTGAGGCTGGTACAGGTTGGTGATAAAAATTATATATTACAACAACAAATGTGGCACACACTAAGGTATGGTCAAAATTTCCATTTTGTTCTTATTGGTTTTATAAGTGTCTCGCATTTTGTTTCCAGAGTCTCATAGATTGCAGGACCATCAAGCCCAGATGGGCAATTGAGCAATCACTCTCAAACACAAAAATTATCAATCTTTTACCAAGCTTGTGATAGTTTATTACCTATAGAAAAAAAATTAAACAATTCATGGTTATAGGTGAAGGAAATTAAACTATTATTACCTAAGGGTGAAGATGCTCCCCCAGCCAAGACATCTCTATCAGTTGAAATGGCGTTGTAATTTATCTTCTTCTCCACATCACGCTGAGACCATTTCCGAGAAAGATTTCTCTGCATCTTTATCATCATCATAAAGAAATTGTCAACAATTACTCACCACCATCATTACAAAGAAGTGTAAAAGCAGAGTTGCAATGAAAATTTAAGAGACCAAACTTGCAATGATGATGCTTGCTTGAGAAAGACATTCGATTACAATGGCCGCAAAGTTTAATGGAGGGGGTATTATTACAAGGTTATCTCAGACATATTGGTTTTCCATTTCAAGAAAACCATGAGTAACTGAGAGATTAGCCATTAAAAATTGTCACTTTTATGATGTTAATGGAATGTAGGAAATCAAAAAGAAATAAAAGAAATGCAGAAGGCGCAAACTCTTATGAAAATAAAGAAATTAAAAGAATCCCATTAGATAAATGAGGAAGAACGTACCGAGACTCTAGAATTTGGAGTAATATCTTTATCGGTGCCGTGGGAGAAGCTTTCCATATCAATGACAAAGCTGTCAGACTTATCTGCTGTGTAATGAAAGCCGTTTATATGATCGGAAACTGAGATTTTCTGGGTACCCATTTTTTCTTCTAATCCATAAATCTCTTCAGTGGCAGCCGAATCCTGAACAAAATCAAGAACCCAATACAGAAACAGAGGCTCTGTAATTCAAAATTGTTCTGGAAATTTGAAAACATATGCCGAACAGTTACGAAGGACTCAGAGAGCCCAATGGAACAGTTACAAGAATTGAATGGAGCAATTTACAAGAAAGAAACGGAAATGAAAAATAAAGAAAGCCCAGAGAGCTAGTGCTTACCAACTTTGGATTTTCCGCCATTTTCTGTCACTTTTATAGGAGAAGAAAGCAGCCCGAATGAGAAAGAAGCAACGCAACAGAGAAATGGAGAGAAGAAAAGGTCGTATCCACAGCGTTATAAAATTGCGTACCGAATGGGACAATCACCAGCAACCACCTGATTGTCATATAAGAAAATGAAAAAACAACAAAGAAACACCCAAATAAGTCAAAACTCGAAGATTTAACACCAATAAAGAAATACCATATGAAACAAAGCCCGTGAATTGTAAGAAAGAAACTAACTTGGTACATAAAGACTGACTTTTGTTTATTGGGTTTTTTTCCTCCAACTGCCCCACCAATTGGTTCAAAGAAAATAATGTCTCAGCACAGAGCAGACGACGTAAACTCCCAGAAGATAAAAAAATGACAGTCTTTTCTTCTTTCTTCAACAAACAAGACCTTGATGAGGAGGCGGCCTGAAGGGCTTCACAATAATACAATTCTGTTGCCAAAAGCGGAAGAGAGAGAAGAATTTTGGGTGAGAGGGAGTGGGAATGTGATCATGTGGGACTGTTCTTAAGAAACTGGCTGGTGCTTTTATTTTATACGATCATCAGCCTGAGTTGGTGTCTGATTATAATTTATAATTGTAGCAGGAGGATACGTTTTGAGGATGCAAAATAAAATTTCGTTTTCTTGACCAATTTGGATTTACAGGGTGGTGGGGGAGATCACAAGGGGGCCAGTCCATGGTAAATCCCCTACACCCACCCCCAAATTAATAGAACAAACATCCTGTCATGTTCCGCTAATTCTGGCTGTGTGGATTGCTTAATCATTAATTAAACCGGACAAAATGGTTTTAATTTATAGTCCCTTGTAAAGCTATCCATCTTTGATTTCGAATTTCGATGGAGATTTGCTAAAATTATATCAATCTGATTGTCCCTCTCAGCTCAATCAGTTATACACGACAAGAATTGATGATCCGTATAGTAAAGGTCACATGGATTATCCCACATTAAAATCTAAACTTTGGAAAATTCTAAAAGCCATAACTAAAAATATAATGATGAGTGACTTTCAATGTTATAACACAGGTGGAGGTCTAGCCATTTTTTTTCAAAGAGTCGACATTCCTAAACTACCTCGTGGGGATTTTTTTATTATTATCAGAGAATGAACATTTCATTGAAACATCATTGTCATAATACAATTAAACAAAAAAATGGGATTTCGGTGATAGAAGAAGTGTGGCCTGATTAAAACATTCCAAACGGAGGAATATATAGTAAAATCTACAATTTAAATTTTGAAACTTACTAGGAGGCGAGGAAATTAATAATTCTTGATAATTCAATATGTGGACAGCTTTTAATTGTCTTCCCGAGCTATAAGTTGATTAGCATATATTTCAAAATTTACGACAATTCAACACATATAATTATCATTTATTTATTTATAGAATAAAAATTGTTGCGTAACAATTTGTAATGTGATTGTGTATATAAAGACCGTAGATAAGATCAACATTCTTCTTTCCAAATCGACACAAAAAGAAAAAGAAGAAGAAGAGAAAAAAAGGAAAGAAAAAAGTTGTCAATTTACATGTGATGACGTGAATGAGACTCTTTTGGCACTGCATCAAAGGGAAGAAAACAAAACTATGGCTCTATAGTTTTTGTTTTTATTATTTTCTTTCTTGTTTAATTTTTTTTATACCATTGATATTAAGGAAGTAAATTTGAATATTAAATTTTAAGATAAGAATAACTGTTGTTAACCACTTGTATACG